TGCCTGGCTTTATAAATCATCCATATATATCTACAGAAAGAAGACAGATCCTGCTTCTGTTTGAGTGTTTGTTTATTTGCCTACTGATTCCGTGAGCATCAAGCCTCACGCAACCACAACATGTTGGATAAAGAATTACACAAATTCGGCTGTTTTTAATCTTTGCTATGCTGTAATAAAGGCTTTATACTTTTTTTTTTTGTTAAACCAGCCTATTATTAATAAGTTATTTAGTGTTGTTTACACTGTTCCAAATTCTATATTTATAATAATAATAATACTAATAACCCTCATTTTTCTTGATCTCCTTATTGTTTTTATTACTATTATTATGATTATCATTATAATAATAAGTCATGTCATTATCATTAGTAGGCTTAGTATAGCAGCCGTTTATAACCACCATCGAGCTGTAGGCCTAAGAGCGCATCCTGTTCAGTCTTAATACCGTAACTTACTTAGGCCTATTTGTTTTACCCCCTTTTTCGTGACTACGATCTTGTCTCATCGCGTTAACTCCCCAACGAGCTCGGGAGAGGCGAAAGTCATGCGTCCTCCAAAACATGACCAGCCAATTGCACTTCCCGCTCGCTTAACCCAGAAGCCAGCCGCACCAATGTGTCAGAGGAAACACTGTCCAACTGACGACCGAAGTCAGCAAGCCACAAGGAGTCGCTAGAGCGCGATGAGCCAAGTAAAGTCCCCCCGGCCAAACCCTCCTCTAACCCGGACAACACTGGGCCAATTGTGCGCGGCCCTATGGGAATCCCGGTCACGGCCGGTAATGACACAGCCTGGGATCGAACCCCAGGCTGTAGTGACGCCGCAACACTGCAATGCAGTGCCTTAGACCGCTGCGCCACTCGGGAGGCCTATATTAATTAATTTATATATATTACTTATATAGGCTACTGTATCAATCAATCACTTATTTGTTGATGTCATCGCACAGCACACAAGTCATTCATGATGTAAATGCAATCAAGAACAATTAGCGTAAACAATAAATGTGACTCATTTCAGGAAACTAGTCGTATGTCGCGCGTCACTACTTCACAGGAGAACCATTTGAATGTAAGGTTTAAAAAAATCAAAATTCGTTTTTTGGCAGAAATGCCTTCTGGAACATGTGAACTTTCATGTGTCTTAATAACAAACTTGTATACATCTGTAAATACGAATACAATTGTTAAAACTAAGAGCCTAGTTGGTTTAGCCACAGAAAAAGACAGGAACCTTCCCGCTAGCCATGATTGGCTGAGATAACGGGTGGGCTGGACATGCCGAGAGATGATTTTGGATTGGTATGCCATGTAGCGCGCTTCCGTTTATAACATGAGCTGGTCAGTATGTGTAGGTAATCCTTTCTAACGCAGTTTTTTTGAAAGATATCTCGAAGTAGAACTGCAAAGGTGTTGCTCTCCACTTTCTGGAGGACCGAGTTTTGAAATCAGTGGAATGCACGGTGGAATTAGAGTATGATAGCTAAGGAGATGGCATTTGATTGCAAATATGCAGACGGAGTTGAAAAGAGAACACACAGAAGGCTGTTGTATAAAAACGCCTGTCTCCGGATTACATCTTCAAACTAAAGCAACCATGGCATCCGTGACAGAGAGGGAGAAGCGTCCATCCATGTATACAGAAAGATAGTCTAGCTAGCTACATTTTCAGATATTACACATTTCAAATAGTCAGAAAGTCATTTTAATTTCAAGTTAAATTGTACTATTAGCTAGCTAGCTAATGTTAGCTGGCTCGATAACTAACATTATGTGTATGATATGTGTAGTAATATTATTCGTATCTCAGAGCCATTTGCATTGCTAGTTATAGCCATAATGTTAGCTAGCTAGCTAACATTGAACCTGGTTGGTTAGCTACCTGCAGATTCATGCAGGGTAGTAACGTTATGAGTTGGGATTATGGTTCATTGTTTAGCTAGCTAGCTAAGTTACATGTCTAAACAAAAGACTCCACTATGCAAGTAACCATTTCAATAGAATGTTCATGATGTCACAGCGACAACTGTCGATAGACGTAGCTGGTAAATTTGCTCTGGCTATCTACTTCGATTTCAGAGCACTCGTCTGAGCGTGCCAGAGCGCAGAATAACTGACAAATTTACGAACGGTCAACACCCGTTGAATATGGACGGTGTCAGTAAAAGTTGGCAAAAAAAGCGTAATTAAAATTGTTGCCAGCAGCACAGTTGCAGTCACCAACGCTCTGGATAACATAAAAACAGCCTAACCAGCTCTGCGAGGGTGAGTAAAATGGTCAGAGTGAGCTATTCCCTCATTTGTGTTTGGAAGTAGCAAGCAAGCTAGCCAACTTTAGCTTGGATGCTTGACTGCTGTTGTTAGGTCAGAATGCTTGGATCAACCCTACTCCTCGTCCAGAGCATCCAGAGTGCGCTCTGAACGCTCCAAGAGCGAAACACTCTGAATTTTACGAACAGACAATCTGACAACGCTCTGAGTTTACGAACGCCAAGAACGCACTCTGAGCACACTCTGGCACTCCAGATTGAATTTACGAACACACCCGTAGTATAAAACCAGCCTTTAGTCTTGAAATCTTTGGTTGTTTAGTTCTCACATGTGAATCCTTAAAGAGCTGGGTTGGGCTAAAGCTTAAGAGGGTGTGAACGATGCTGAATGGGTGTAGACAAAGAAGAGCTCTCCGTACCAAAACATTCAAGGACCATTTTCTCAAAAGTGAGGTCACAAGTTTATCAACTTTCAAAGCATAATTACTTTCCCATTGTTCCTCAACTGTAGTGTATGATATACCATTTTCTAGCTCTGAGTCTCTACTTGTATCCATTGTAAAAAACACAATTTCAAATGTTGCTACATAAGACTGAAACGAGCCGGTTGGTCACAAATAGGCCTAAACCGTTCCATTTCGGAAATTGCGTTCACAAATTAATGTGACTGTTTTTAGTCTTTGCTGTTATAAAGGCTTTACAAAAAAACTATACAACAGACTCTCTAGTACGCTTAATTTATTTAGTGTTGTTTATATTGTTCCAAACGGTCCGAAAAATATTGTAGTCTAATAGCACCGGTTTGGCACACATTGGCCTTTTTCTTGATATCCAGTATTTTCCACAACTAGTCAAATATATTCCACACATCTGACTACCCCTTTACCTCCTTAGAAACCAGTAAATATTCCCCCGTTTCGAGTTTATTTGTCACGTCCTCTGCATCCATTTTGCTGTCACATGTGTTACAGTGTTCAGAGTTTGTTACAGTGCATTTGGAAACCCTTGACTTTTTCCACGTTTTTGCGCTACAGCCTTATACTAAAATTGATTAAATTATTTATTTTTTCTCATCGATCTACACACAATACCCCATAATGACAAAGATTACAAATAAAAGACAGAAACACATTATTTACATAAGTATTCAGACCCTTTGCTATGAGACTCGAACTTTAGCTCAGATGCATCCTGTTTCCATTCATCATCCTTGAGATGCTTCTACAACTTGATTGGAGTCCACCTGTGGTAAATTGAATTGATCGGACATGATTTGGAAAGGCACACACACACCTGTCTATATCAGGTCCCACAGTTGACAGTGCATGTCAGAGCAAAAACCAAGCCATGAGGTCGAAGGAATTGTCCGTAGAGCTCCGAGACAGGATTGTGTCGAGGCACAGCTCTGGGGAAGGGTACCAAAACATATCTGTAGCATTGAAGGTCCCCAAAAACATAGTGGCCTCCATCATTCTTAAATGGAAGTTTGGAACCACCAAGACTCTTCCTAGAGCTGGCCGCCCGGTCAAACTGAGCAATCGAGGGAGAAGGGCCTTGGTCAGGGAGGTGACCAAGAACCCGATGGTCACTGACAGAGCTCTAGAGTTTCTCTGTGGAGATGGGAGAACCTTCCAGAAGGACAACCATCTCTGCAGGACTCCAGACGGAAGCCACTCGTCAGTGAAAGGCACATGACAGCCCGCTTGGAGTTTGCCAAAAGGCACCTAAAGGACTCTCAGACCATGAGAAACTGATGAAACGAAGATTGAACTATTTGTCCTGAATACCAAGCGTCACGTCTGGAGGAAAGCTGGCACCATCCCTACCATGAAGCATGGTGGTGGCAGCATCCTGTTGTGGGGATGTTTTTCAGCGGCAGGACACTGGGAGACTGGTTAGGATCGAGGGAACGATCAAAGGAGCAAAGTACAGATAGATCCTTGATGAAAACCTGCTCCAGAGTGCTCAGGACCTCAGACTGGGGTGAATGTTCACCTTCCAACAGGACAATGACCCTAAGCACACAGCCAAGGCAACGTAGGAGTGGCTTCGGGACAAGTCAAATGGCCTTGAGTGGCCCAGCCAGAGCCCGGACTTGAACCCGATCAAACATCTCTGGAGAGACCTGAAAATACCTGTGCAGCAACGCTCCCCATCGAACCTGAAAGCGCTTGAGAGGATCTGCAGAGAATAATTGGAGAAACTCCCCAAATACAGGTGTGCCAAGCTTGTAGCATCATACCCAAGAAGACTCGAGGCTGTAATCACTGCCAAAGGTGCTTCAACAAAGTACTGAGTAAAGGGTCTGAATAATTATGTAAATGTAATATTTCAGTTTTGTATTATTTATAAATTTGCTAACATTTCTAAAAACCTGTTTTTGCTTTGTCATTATGGGGTATTGTGTGTAGATTGAAGCGGGGGAAAAAAACAATTTTATCAATTTTAGAATAAGGCTGTAACGTAACAAAATGTGTAAAAGTCTAGGGGTCTGAATACTTTCAGAATGCACTGTATGTACCTTTCTGTTATTCCGCTAAGTAAGCATTTCACTGTTAGTCTACACCGCTTGTTTACGAAGCATGTGACAAATAAAATTTGAATTGATTTGACTACTGGAAACCTCTCACACAGACGCCCCAGACCCTTCAGAAAGACACAGAGAAGGAGAAGGAGAAGAAGAAGGAAGAAGGAAGAAGGAAGAAGGAAGAAGGAAGAAGAAGATTACCTGTAGACAGCAGATGAGGAGGGGCATGTGTGCGATAATGACTTTACTGGAGGTCTTAGACTGCAGCTTCTCGGAAAGTTTGATGCACAGATTCTCGGCTCCTACGAGCACAAAAGGGAAGAAAGAGGAGGTAGGCTGCTGTTATTAAAGCTCTAGGGACACTAAAATAGTGGCCCATGGCAATAGAAGGCCCATCGGGACACATAAAGCATGAATGCTATTGCCCACATGGTGGATGATTAATCAAACTGTATGGCTCTGACCTTTTGACATGTTGCTGCATGTACTGAAGTTAAGATGATTCTGACCTTATTTGAGAGCTACAGTGGGGGAAAAAAGCATTTAGTCAGCCACCAATTGTGCAAGTTCTCCCACTTAAAAAGATGAGAGAGGCCTGTAATTTTCATCATAGGTACACATCAACTATGACAGACAAAATGAGATTTTTTTTTCCAGAAAATCACATTGTAGGATTTTTAATGAATTTATTTGCAAATTATGGTGGAAAATAAGTATTTGGTCAATAACAAAAGTTTCTCAATACTTTGTTATATACCCTTTGTTGGCAATGACACAGGTCAAACGTTTTCTGTAAGTCTTCACAAGGTTTTCACACACTGTTGCTGGTATTTTGGCCCATTCCTCCATGCAGATCTCCTCTAAAGCAGTGATGTTTTGGGGCTGTCGCTGGGCAACACGGACTTTCAACTCCCTCCAAAGATTTTCTATGGGGTTGAGATCTGGAGACTGGCTAGGCCACTCCAGGACCTTGAAATGCTTCTTACGAAGCCACTCCTTCGTTGCCCGGGCGGTGTGTTTGGGATCATTGTCATGCTGAAAGACCCAGCCACGTTTCATCTTCAATGCCCTTGCTGATGGAAGGAGGTTTTCACTCAAAATCTCACGATACATGGCCCCATTCATTCTTTCCTTTACACGGATCAGTCGTCCTGGTCCCTTTGCTGAAAAACAGCCCCAAAGCATGATGTTTCCACCCCCATGCTTCACAGTAGGTATGGTGTTCTTTGGATGCAACTCAGCATTCTTTGTCCTCCAACCACGACGAGTTGGTTTGGTTTCATCTGACCATATGACATTCTCCCAATCCTCTTTTGGATCATCCAAATGCACTCTAGCAAACTTCAGACGGGCCTGGACATGTACTGGCTTAAGCAGGGGGACACGTCTGGCACTGCAGGATTTGAGTCCCTGGCGGCGTAGTGTGTTACTCATGGTAGGCTTTGTTACTTTGGTCCCAGCTCTCTGCAGGTCATTCACTAGGTCCCCCTGTGTGGTTCTGGGATTTTTGCTCACCGTTCTTGTGATCATTTTGACCCCACGGGGTGAGATCTTGCGTGGAGCCCCAGATCGAGGGAGATTATCAGTGGTCTTGTATGTCTTCCATTTCCTAATAATTGCTCCCACAGTTGATTTCTTCAAACCAAGCTGCTTACCTATTGCAGATTCAGTCTTCCCAGCCTGGTGCAGGTCTACAATTTGTTTCTGGTGTCCTTTGACAGCTCTTTGGTCTTGGCCATAGTGGAGTTTGGAGTGTGACTGTTTGAGGTTTGGACAGGTGTCTTTTATACTGATAACAAGTTCAAACAGGTGCCATTAATACAGGTAACGAGTGGAGGACAGAGGAGCCTCTTAAAAAAGAAGTTACAGGTCTGTGAGAGCCAGAAATCTTCCTTGTTTGTAGGTGACCAAATACTTATTTTCCACCATAATTTGCAAATAAAATCATAAAAAATCCTACAATGTGATTTTCTGGATTTTTTTTCTCAATTTGTCTGTCATAGTTGACATGTACCTATGATGAAAATTACAGGCCTCTCTCATCTTTTTAAGTGGGAGAACTTGCACAATTGGTGGCTGACTAAATACTTTTTTTCCCCACTGTACAACATTACCCAATATCGAAGATGTGATAACACCATATGCTGAGAAGCAATGCGTTATCAGGCGTTGCTGTGACTAATTACCTTGCTCGTCTTTCACGGCCCACACCATGAGGTCCACGCAGGCTGCGTTGGCCTGGCAACGGAGTTTAAGAGGGTTGGGCTCCCCCGGCAGCCCCCCTGCATCATGGAGCACCCTCTGCAGCTCGGACTGGCTGCTGCTGAACTGCTCCAGCACAAAGTCGTGCACCTCCCTGACGAACCCCGGGTGGAGGGCTTAGAACACATTACACCATTATTACACATTCACAATCACATGTAATACATCGTCATTTTCCTCCATCACAAATCACTGCTGCAAGGCTGAGAACGCAGAAATTAATGCACTTTAAAAAGGAATGGTTCACCCAAATTGATTTAATCTTATTGATATCTACAAAGAGGTCTATGAATCCAGGGATTCGCTACAGCTTAGCATGATCATAAATAACTGCAAAACAGTGGGAGAGGAGCAGTGGGACCTGTTCGCTTACCTTTAATGTAATACAGGGCGTCCCTCAGCATTTTGAACATGCAGACGTAGAGAGGATCACTGAAGGTTTTGTAGTATAAATTCATACTAGGATTAGCCTGCAGATGGGAAAGTCAAATGTAAACCAAGATTGTGTCACAAATGGCACCCTATTCCCTACATAGTACACTACTTTTGACGTCGAAAGTAGTGCACTATATAGGGAATAGGGTGTCATTTAAGACAGAACACATGTTGTGTCACAGAATGAGAGTCATTTTCTTCGAGAGTCGTCTGTTCTTTCGACCAATCGATTGGTTGAAATTTCAAAATGTGTATTTTTCCATATCTATAAACTCAGCAAAAAAAGAAACGTCCTCTCACTGTCAACTGCGTTTATTTTCAGCAAACTTAACATGTCTAAATATTTGTATGAACATAACAAGATTCAACAACTGAGACATAAACTGCCAAGTTCCACAGACATGTGACTAACAGAAATGGAATGTGTCCCTGAACAAAGGGGGGTCAAAATCAAAAGTAACAGTCAGTATCTGGTGTGGCCACCAGCTGCATTAAGTACTGCAGTGCATCTCCTCCTCATGGACTGCACCAGATTTGCCAGTTCTTGCTGTGAGATGTTACCCCACTCTTCCACCAAGGCACCTGCAAGTTCCCGGACATTTCTGGGGGGGAATGGCCCTAGCCCTCACGCTCCGATCCAACAGGTCCCAGACCATGGCCATGGCAGAACACTGACATGCAGGAAATGCAGGAAATCACGCACAGAATGAGCAGTATGGCTGGTGGCATTGTCATGCTGGAGGGTCATGTCAGGATGAGCCTGCAGGAAGGGTACCACATGAGGGAGGAGGATTTCTTCCCTGTAACACACAGCGTTGAGATTGCCTGCAATTACAACAAGCTCAGTCCAATGATGCTGTGACACATCGCCCCAGACCATGAGGACCCTCCACCTCCAAATCGATCCCGCTCCAGAGTACAGGCCTCGGTGTAACGCTCATTCCTTCGACAATAAACGAGAATCTGACCATCACCCCTGGTGAGACAAAACCGCGACTCATCAGTGAAGAGCACTTTTTGCCAGTCCTGTCTGGTCCAGCGACGGTGGGTTTGTGCCCATAGGCAACGTTGTTGCCGGTGATGTCTGGTGAGGACCTGCCTTACAACAGGCCTACAAGCCCTCAGTCCAGCCTCTCTCAGCCTATTGCGGACAGTCTGAGCACTGAGGGAGGGATTGTGCATTCCTGGTGTAACTCGGGCAGTTGTTTTTGCCCTCCTGTACCTGTCCCGCAGGTGTGATGTTCGGATGTACCGATCCTGTGCAGGTGTTGTTACACGTGGTCTGCCACTGCGAGGACGATCAGCTGTCCGTCATGTCTCCCTGTAGCGCTGTCTTAGGCGTCTCACAGTAGGGACATTGCAATTTATTGCCCTGGCCACATCTGCAGTCCTCATGCCTCCTTGCAGCATGCCTAAGGCACGTTCACGCAGATGAGCAGGGACACTGGCATCATTCTTTTGGTGTTTTTCAGAGTCAGTAGAAAGGCCTCTTTAGTGTCCTAAGTTTTCATACCTGTGACCTTAATTGCCTACCGTCTGTAAGCTGTTAGTGTCTTAACGACCATTCCACAGCTGCATGTTCATTAATTGTTTATGGTTCATTGAACAAGCATGGGAAACAGTGTTTAAACCCTTTAAAATGAAGATCTGTGAAGTTATTTGGATTTTTACAAATTATATTTGAAAGACAGTTTCTTTTTTTGCTGAGTTTACATACACATCCTGTGTTTTAATCAAATTAACTATATGCACTTAGCTTGTCTGACGCTTTAAGCACACGGTTTGATTAAATAATTAAGACAGACAAATGACTAGAGGGAGTCCGACCGCAATTGATTTGATTGTGCTCAGACTTGCTGCGCTGTGTTAACAAAAATGACAGCGCATGACTGTGTGACTAGCACCCGTTGTCTCCCTCTCCTCCATGCTGCAGCGACCACTACAGAACTTCAACAGTGTTTATCGCGCTGTCCGTGTTGCTGAAGCTATTTCTGACTGAAAAGTTGTGTGTGATTCATATGCTGTGTGATGACATGAACAAATAAATATTGATTGATACAGTAGCCTATACACTGTAACTATTGAAATATAGGCCTAAGGAAGTTACGGTATTAAGACTAACCCGGATGCGCTCTTTGGCCTACAGCTCGATGGTGGTTATACAAGGCTGCTATACTAAGCCAAGTAATGATAAGACATTACTTATTATTATAACGATGATCATAATAATAAGACTAATAATAACAATAAGGAAATCAAGAAAAAGGGAGGGTTATTATTATTATTATAAATATTATTTTTCTGACAATTTGGAAGAGTGTAAACACGAAATAAATAATTAGTAATACCAGAGAGCTGTTCGAACAAAGAAAAGTGTAAAGCCTTCAGTACAGCAAAGCAAAGATTAAAAACAGCCGAATTTGTGAAATTCTTTATCCGACATGTTGTGGCTGCGTGAGGCTTGATGCTCATGGAATCAGTAGGCTATTAAACAAACGCTCAAACAGAAGCAGGATCTGTCTTATTTCTGTAGATATATATGGATGATTTATAAAGCCAGGCACATTAGGATATTGACTATAGATTTAATTAAGTTGGGGTTTCCTCTCTCCTCACTTTTCTTAGACAATTAAGGCAATTGCTGTTTTCAAGTCTCCTAACTCCGTTGCATTGTTCTCAACACCAATATGATGGTTAACTTTGCTAGCACATAGCAACATGGTCTAGCAATAGACGCCAATTCAACAGCGTGCTGATGTTCCAGAACCGCGGAGAGCGACCACTATCCAACGTGGGAGAAAGCGCATTTGTTAGTGTTGCACCATTGTTCTTACGTAATATAACCATATATAATTTCAGTAGCACATGTCTTAGTAGACTGTGCCATCCCCACGGCCTCCACAATGGATTAATCCACTCAGACAGGTGTCTTGTACACCATTAATATTTTTCTACTGCTCGACTAAAGAAATCTCGATCGACCAACAGCCTAGTGACCAAAACAATCGACCAGTCGACTAAATGGGGTCAGCCCTAAAACCAATCCCCACCTCAGTGACTTCCACCATTGTGGCGTCCAGTGTTTTCAGGAAGGAGTCAGACAAAAAGCTCTTCACCTGCACATGAAAAAACAACATCCGTTTAGAATGCAGTGCATGTAATAACTGACCAATGGCCATACATGTTTGCTGTAATTTCAATTTTTGGATATTGATTTATTTCAGTGTAATACACCATTTGGTGCCCAGCCTATATGGGTTTACAAGACACTGTACATCAAGTACTTGTGCAAAAAAACTAAATAACATTTTCAAATGTTGATGCAGAATTCATAATCGTAGCACGTACAACTAACACATTGACAACTTATACGGATTAGGTTAATTCATACAAACAATACATTTTTCCTTCTCCCACAGGCTTTGAAGATAAATTGCTGTGCTATATGCTCTTAGTTCTAACCAAGGAGATGTGAATGTGTGAGTGCTACAGCCGACAGTAATAGTCCTGCTGTGTGGTAGTGTACCATGCTGAGGAGCTGTCTGAGCAGATCCACAGGCACCTCCATCTCCCCCTCGCCCTCCCTGATGAAAAGAGGAGACACGGAAAAGCTGGAGCTAACAGTCATGAAGTAGTAGTCTGGGTCCACTGCGCTACCGTCAGGAAGATAGGAACCTGGAGAGGGAGAGATACACTTCTGTCATAATTTTCATTCATCTTAAATGGAGACTCAGCGATGTAAAGTTGCTACAGGTAGCAGGATATTGCAGATGAGGGCGAGCCAAGACGTTGCACTCGCAAAAAAAATCAGCGCAAGTGCACTGGTGCGCTTCCCACTGCTGCAACGTGATAAACGCGGGACAAAAACAGAAGTGAAGTTTAGCCTCGCGGTTCATACTTTGGATTTTTGCGGAAGTCGGCCCGATATTGCCGTTTTACGTTCGTGCATCGCTGACTCTACATTTAAAAATGTTTTCCCCATTTTGTCAGATTTTGTTGTCTCAATCACGCACAACAACTTCATTTTTAGACTGCTTGGCTACGGCTACTGAACTGGGACTATAAAATGGTTAATATCCTGAAAAATGATTATCCCTCATAAATGACCACGCACATGCACGTGCACACTCACACACACAGCTGAAACAATAAGCTGAGGAGAGGCAGAACCAACGCCTAAAACCCTCCACTTAATTTAGAATCATGACAATGTTGACTAACTGTATAAAAACAGACCCATGATCGACGAGGGCAGAAGGGAGGGAACTACTTCATTAAATGCAGCTGGTTTTACCTTCAAAGTAGTGTAGGCCAGGACCTGTAGGGGAGCAGGGGGACTGGCCTGCTGGGTCCGGACTAACCTATAGGACGAGAGATGTTCCATGCCGTCATAACATGAACTGACAAACAGTGCGTGTGTGTGCGTGTGTGTGTGTGTCCATCTCCCATAAAACACAAACACCCTAACTCCTTCCACAACCGGACAGTCAACAACAACAAGCCCAGGGTTTACAATAGTCCTACCTGTGAGGTGTCCGTGGCGGTACATGTGCGCCTGTGGATCGTATCCCCCTGACACACGGTGAGCAGGGAGTTGGGCATGATGGAGCGGAAGTCGTTGAAGGACCTCCGCCGTATTCCTTCCGGTTCCTCGCTGACGCGAGGTGTCTGTGGCACCCCTCGAGGGAACAGTTTGGACAGCAGGGCCTCCTCCGTGTTGCTGTAGCGACCAAATGCCCGGATCACACCCAGCAGGCAGGGAAAGATGTACCTGCACAGGTAGACTGGAGAAGAGACACACACACACACACACACACACACACACCACATCAGGAAAAACATGCACACAATGTGCTACATGCTATGACTGCAGAGAGAGAGGTGTGTGTGTGTGTGTGTGTGTCGGTACCTTTGTCGTGGTTCTCTGGAGTCTGGCACATCTCCAGAAACCCATGCATTACCTCCATAACAGCCTCCAGAATCTACAGACATGGCAGAGGGGGACTTCTTAGTAAAAAATGCTGTTATCAACAGTTAATAACTAGCACGATGCTGTAATGCTGATATTCACTCCATAGAACAGTGCTATAATGCTGTTATTAACAGTTATTCATTCCCAGCACAGTACTGTAATGTTGTTATTAACTCCTACACAGTGTTATAATTATGTTAACAGTATTGAACTCCTTGCACTGTGCTATAACGCTGTTATTAACAGTTATTAATTCCTAGCACAGTGCTATAAAGCCTATTGTTACCACAAACCTGGGTTCTGGAGTCTGGGTCTCTCTGGGCCACATCAGCCAGCAGGGTCACCAGACAGAAGCTAAAGTTCTCCGCAATGGGGAGGGCCTCTGAGGGGGAGAGACACAGTACAGTTATCAAACAGCAAATACTGTGACTGCATTTGGGACATTGACTGTGTGCACACTCAGAGCCATATAAAAAGCTGTTGAGGCAACATGGGGAGTTTAGTAAAGTCACACTGCAATGACATTGCAAATGTAGCCTAAAGTATGTCAATGGCAGTAGGCCTATATATATATTACAAAAACAACTAAACGTATTTCAATGTACGGTCCAAATAAATGTAAATATAACTAAACAATACTACAATGACACTGAAAAAATTATTTGTAATAGTATAGTATAAGTATAAAGTCAATAATAAACTAATCAAAAGTAAACAACAGGGCCCATATTCACAAAGCATCTCAGAGTAGGAGTACTGATCTTGGATCAGTTTTGCCTTCTAAATCATAATGAATAAGAGGGGGGACCTGATCCTAGATCAGCACTAATACTCTGAGATGCTTTGTGTGAACAGGACTTTGTTCTTGTAGATGAAAAATGCAATGAGTAAGAAGATTGTCTGAACCCCCTCCTTTCTTTCCCGAGCTCTCCTCGATCCATTGGACCCTTGGCAATCCCCTCAGTAGGGTCAACAAGTAAGGAACAACTGTTTCCTTGTGCTGCAGGGGCAAAACAATACAATACAAACCCTTACCATCACAGTACACACACTTTTAGAGTACACAATTACAGTACACAATACAGTATACACCCTTACCATCACAGTACACACACTAGTACAGTACACACTTACAGTACACACAGTACACACTTGTTCACTCCTCTTAAAGGGACAGTTCACCCCATAATCAAAAAGTGTGTAGGTGCGTGTGTGTGTGCGTGTGTTGGGGGATTGATAGCTTCTCAAAAGGTGTATTTCTGTGGCCTGCCATGCCATGTCTTGTTGTGATGGACTTTAGTAGCTTACACAGCAGCACCAGGTCTAATCACTAGCTCAAACCGATTAGGCCAATTAGCTTACTTTGTTGATCTGTGTGGAGCTGCTGCAGTTCCCTTGCCTGTGACATCTGAATAATGTGATTTGGCTTTATAATAATAATGTCTACCTATGGAGTGGGTGTATGCTGTGACATAGCATGGCCTAGTTTAAGTACTTCCAAAACTCACTATACCTTTCATCCTTTCTCATAGCCTAATCACCGATCTAACAAGATTGGCCAGAATACACACAGCCACTCCAACAAGCAAAGCTGAATACCTACATGCATGCAATTTTGCTACATCTGGGAAAGGAGGAAGGATGCATTGAAACAGGGCCAGGATTCCTGTTGAAACGGTTACAAAGCCAAATAACCTACCTACCTGAAATCAATCAATAAACCACCTACCTGTAAGTCAGACTCCACGAGGAAGACAGCGAGAGCTATGACAGCATCTCTGCGACGCAAGTCAAGGGTGAAGGCACCCCTCACCTCCACAGGGCACATGCATTGCAGCTTCTGGATCTGAGAGAGAGGCCATGGGACTGAGGTCAGGACAGGTGCATGGTAACAGTACAGGGGAACATGCCTAGAAGCCAGACCCACAACTTTCATAAATCTGCTGTCAAACTAGCCCTGGTGTGTAGGTTATTCACTATGAACCAAACAGAACCAAACGGAAGCAAACTGAATGAAACAGGGAGGGACCTAACTGAATTTGTCCAATAGAAACTCGTTTTCGTTGTAAAACTATTTCCATTTGGAGTAATAGTTTTCTGTTGCGAAACGTTTTGCAACAGTTTTCAACTGTTTGCTACGGTCTTCATCTAATGAATACACCCCTTATGTGGTTTGCCTCCATGTTATGGTGCAATTTGAAGGGGAAACATACACACAACTCCAATGCTTCCCACAGTAGGCCCTGTGTAGCTCAGTTGGTAGAGCATGGCGTTTGCAACACCAGGGTTGTGGGTTCGATTCCCATGGGGGGCCAGTATGAAAAAATAAATGCCAGGTCGCAGTTGTAAATGAGAACTTGTTCTCAACTGGCTTACCTGGTTAAATAAAAAAATTTAAAAAAATACCCAAACATGCCCATACTGCAACAGTGTCCTGATAAGAATGGTGGGTCATTCCATGTCATTTTAGCAAGCCATGACTCCCACCATCTCAGGTCTTTCTAAAATTGTTTTTATAGTTAGAAACAGATAAGATTAGCATTCCCGCAAAATTATTTTGTTTAAATATACACTGAGTATACCAAACATTAAGAACACCTTCCTAATACTGAGTTGCACCTTTTGCCCTCAAAACAGCCTCAATTCGTCAGGACATGGGCTCTATAAGGTGTCGAAAGCATTCCACAGGGATGCTGGCCCATGTTGACTCCAATGCTTCCCACAGTAGGCCCCGTGTAGCTCAGTTGGTAGAGCATGGCGTTTGCAACACCAGGGTTGTGGGTTCGATTCCCATGGGGGGCCAGTATGAAAAAATAAATAAATAATGTATGCACTCACTAACTGTAAGTCGCTCTGGATAAGAGCGTCTGCTAAATGACAAAAAAAGTAAATAATAATAATACTAAAGTTGTCTGGATGTCCTTTGGGTGGAGAACCATTCTTGATACACACAGGAAACTGTTGAGCATTAAAAACTCAGCAACAATGCAGTTCTTGACACAAACCAGCGTGCCTGGCACCTACTACCATACCCCGTTCAAAGGCAATTAAATATCTTGTCTTGCCCATTCACCCTCTGAATGGCACACATTCACAATCCATGTCTCAATTGTCTCAAGGCTTAAAAATCCTTCTTTAACCTGTCCCCTTCTCTTCGTCTACACTGATTGAACTGGATTTAACAAGTGACATCAATAAGGGATCATAGCTTTTAACTGGATTCACCTGGTCAGTCTGTGTAATGGAAAGAGCAGGTGTTCTTAATGTTTTGTATACCAAATTGGCCATTTCAATTAATAGGACTCATATAATATTTAGGTGCTATATCTCATGCCCATTCTGAATTGGAAATCTTTGATTGTACTTAGGCCTTAGCCTGAAGACCAGACGTTGAATTGCATTGAATTCTACGTCGGGCATAAAAGAGCGTTTGGATCAGAATGTTTCTTCTCACGACCTCTACAAGCCAGAATGTTTTATCGGTTGTCCATGTGGTTGGTCTTTTTGCAGGTAGGAATGTGAGACAATATATTCACGGGATGGAAAAGCAGAAGAATATGTGCGCTCTCGGATAGTAATAATAGTTTATATGGTGCTCTTTCGATCTCTCAGGTTTGTGGCATTCATGAATAAATCATTTAACGTTTACTTTATTCAGATGTTTATATGTTATGTATAAAAGGTATACCCCATTTAGTCGACTGGTCGATTGTTAGGTCGACCGAGATTTCTTTAATCGAGCAGTAGCAAAAAGAATATATATAATGTCATGGTGTACAAGACACCTGTCTGAGTGGATTAATCCGTTGTGGAGGCCGTGGGGATGGCACAGTCCATCACTAAGACATGTGCTACTGAAATTGTATATGGTTATATTACGTAAGAACAATGGCGCAACACTAATACAAATAATATTTGCATAATCGCATAATTAACCAGCATATTGGTGTTGAGAACAATGCAGCGGAATTAGGAGACTAGAAAACATCCCTTGCCTTAACTGTCTAAGAAAAGTGAGGAGAGTGGAAAGCCCAACTGAATTAGATCTATAATCAATATCCTAACTGTTAAATGTGCCTGGCTTTATAAATAATGCATATATATCTTAAGAAATAAGACAGATCCTGCTTCTGTTGCCTGAGTGTTTGTTTAATAGCCTACTGATTCCATGAGCATCAAGCCTCACGCAGCCACATGTCAGATAAAGAATTACACAAATTCGTCTGTTTTTAATCTTTGCTATGCTGTAATAAGGTTTTACAAATTTTTCGTTAGAACAGCCTCTCTGGTATTATTTATTTAGTGTTGTTTACACTATTCATCTGCGGAGATAAGGTCCCACAGTTGACATTGCATGTCAGAGCAAAAACCAAGCCATGAGGTCGAAGGAATTGTCCATAGAGCTCAGAGACAGGATTGTGTCAAGGCACAGATCTGGGGAAGGGTACCAAAAAATGTCTGCAGCATTGAAGGTCCCCAAGAACACAGTGGCCTCCATCATTCTTAAATGGAAAAAGTTTGGAACCACCAAGACTCTTCCTAGAGCTGGCCACCCGGCCAAACTGAGCAATCGGGGGAGAAGGGCCTTGGTCAGGGAGGTGACCAAGAACCCGATGGTCACTGACAGAGCTCCAGAGTACCTCTGTGGAGATGGGAGAACCTTCCAGAAGACAACCATCTCTGCAGCACTCCACCAATCAGGCCTTTATTGTAGAGTGGCCTGACGGAAGCAACTCCTCAGTAAAAGGCACGTGACAGCCCACTTGGAGTTTGCCAAAAGGCACCTAAAGACTCTCAGACCATGAGAAACAAGATTCTCTGGTCTGATGAAACCAAGATTGAACTCTTTCACCTGAATGCCAAGCGTCCCGTCTGGAGGAAACCTGGCACCATCCCTACGGTGTAGCATGGTGGTGGGAGCATCATGCTGTGGGGATCTTTTTCAGCGGCAGGGACTGGGAGACTAGTCAGGCTCGAGGGAAGATGAACAGAGCAAAGTACAGAGAGATCCTTGATAAAAACCTGCTCCAGAGTGCTCAGGACATCAGACTGTGGCGAAGGTTCACCTTCCGACAGGACAACCGCCCTAAGCACACACCCAAGACAACGCAGGAGCGGCTTCGTGACAAGTCTCTGAATGTCCTTGAGTGGCCCAGCCAGAGCTGGGACTTGAGCCCGATCAAACATCTCTGGAGAGACCTGAAAATAGCTGTGCAGCAATACTCCCCATCCAACCTGACAGAGCTTGAGAGGATCTGCAGAGAATGGGAGAAACTCCCCAAATACAGGTGTGCCAAGCTTGTAGCATCATACCCAAGAATACTTGAGGCTGTAATCGCTGTCAAAGGTGCTTCAACAAAGTACTGAGTAAAGGGTCTGAATACTTATGTAAATGTGATATTTCAGTTGTTTATTTTTAATAAATTTGCAAACTGTCTCTAACCAGAATAGAAAGAGGAGTGGGAGGCCCCGGTGCACAACTGAGCAAGAGGACAAATACATTAGAGTGTGTAGTTTGAGAAACGGATGCCTCACAGGTCCTCAACTGGCAGCCTCCCACTCCTCTTTCTATTCTGGTTAGAGCCAGTTTGTGCTGTTCTGTGAAGGGAGTAGTACACAGCGTTGTACGAGATCTTCAGTTTCTTAGCAATTTCTCGCATGGAACAGCCTTAATTTCTCAGAACAAGAATAGACTGACGAGTTTCAGAAGAAAGTTATTTGTTTCTGGCCATTTTGAGCCTGTAATCGAACCCACAATTGCTGATGCTCCAGATACTCAACTAGTCTCAAGAAGGCCAGTTTTATTGCTTCTTTAATCAGCACAACAGTTTTCAGCTGTGCTAACATAATTGCAAAAGGGTTTTCTAATGATCAATTAGCCTTTTAAAATTATAAACTTGGATTAGCAAACACAACGTGCCATTGGAACACAGGACTGATGGTTGCTGATAATGGGCCTCTGTACGCCTATGTAGATATCAATTTTTTAAAAATCAGCCGTTTCCAGCTACAGTAGCATTTACAACATTAACAATGTCTACACTGTATTTCTGATCAATTTGATGTTATTTTAATGGACAAAAAAATTGCTTTTCTTTCGAAAACAAGGACATTTCTAAGTGACCCCAAACTTTTGAACGGTAGCATATATGGAAAAATACACATTTTAAAATAAGAACAGACGACTCTCGGTCGACCAATATTTTTTTTAGTCGGGGAAAGCTCTATTTGCTAATATAAATATCTGACTGCTACTAGGATAGTATTCTGTACAAGACAAGACCAAATGCATGAATAAGACAACAAATATTAATAAAATAAAATACGGAACAGTCAATAAAAAATTTCAATATATCTTTTGTTTTGGATCAAGGTAGCTAGCTGATAGCAAAGGTTGTCAGCTAGAGATGACGTGCAGGAGCTTGCATGAATTTGTAGCCTTGCATGATGTCTACTTTGTTGATAATTAGCATATTAGAATCTGAGAGTAAATAGACAAATATATTGATAAAAGTTACCTTGTCCAAGAGAGATTTACACGGTTATCAAAATATCACGAAACACAGCCCTTATTTGAAGTGTTTCTAAAGTCCACAACGGATAAAATGAATGGTGAAAAAACGATTGGAACCATTTCCGTGTTTGACCACTAGGTTTTATGGGTATTAAGACAGTGGGACTCAATAGAGAGAAATAGTAATGGCGTCTTATTTTTTATTTATTTAATTTTTATTTTAGGGGGTAGATCAGCTTTAATATTGCAGATACATTGTAACTTCCATCAATGTAATTGTTTGCATCACTTCCAATCCACCGTATATTTATTTT